ACACATCTTGACCCCACCTAACCTACTGCCTGCACGTACAGCATGCTCTTCAGGACAGACAAGTGTGATTTTGAGGCTGGGTCTGATACAGCTAAAAAGAGATATCCTACCTCATAGATAAGCATTGCAGTTACTGAACCAAACTTAAGTGGTTGGCATCACCTCCTCTCCTTTAAATCAATCCTGGCCTTTGAGTTGAATCCTCTCCCTCATCCTTCCCATATTCAGAGAGTAAAGGACCTCTCTGGGGACTTCCATGGAGTTAAGGTGTTTATCTAGATGCGATGGTGGGTCTCAGATGAATAATGACTATGGTTTATTTTTTAAGTGCCTAGTAATAAGAACCTGTGGGGATTAAATTTGTAGAACCATATTTTGGAGAGGAAATGCTTTTGCAAGTTAGGTGGTAGCCTACTTGAAAATAAACAGATGATGTCAGGTATGGACAGCAGACCTCTGACGGTCACTCTTGACTAGCATGAGACTATGAAATGCTTCTCATTCACAACCTATTCCAAGATCAACATGCAAGACACTTAAGCTGGAAAGCTAATGTACTGCCTGACAGGTCCAGCTGCCAGCAGAACATCTCTTCCTAATGGAATCCGCATCATTGGCGGCATTAGAAAAATGAATCAGAAAGGGAAAACTAAATAACTTGTGCATGAAAACCAGCATTCAAACAGCAGAGAAATTACTAGGGATCAATAAAAAGTGTGGGTTTTTGGTGGGTTTTTTTTTATTATATATAATTTAGTCACATTTTCAAAGCACTTAGAGAAGTATTTAGGTTTTGTTTTGAGTAGTAGGTTCTGACAGGACTTCTGTCTTTGTTTTACACAAATGTGAACTAGAATATCTTTTCATATGTGATTTTGAAGTGCTCCTGAAGGAGGATCACTAGATAAAAATCATTATGGAAATCATATTAGGCATGTTTTTCACTTCAATTTACCTAAAATGAAGCACTTGGAGGTAGTGAATTTGAAAATGTTTTTTTTTTAAAAATCTACAACCCATTGTAGAAATTTGCAGAATAGAAACTTGCTGCTGTCTTAATTTTTTCTTTGTTCATGCACATACACACATATGCATACATACGCAGTAAATTAAGAAATCTTCTTGCACCATTAATTACCTTCTTGTAAGTAATTAGACTCAAAAGAATTGAGATTTATTTGGCACTATTAATTCTCTATTTTTCAGATTGTCCTTCACTGGTGACATTTTTTGAATTTAACTTCCAGCGTATAACACAAAGCAAAGAACAAGGGCAAAAACAGTGACACAGTTAGTTTCCTGGCTATATTCAAGGGAACTTCCAGTAGAGCAACTAGGAAGAATGGTTTCAAAAAAGATATATATGGTTTGAGGATACTCCATGCTTTCTGCACAATAAATGACACTGAGGCATTGCAATTTCTTGAAAATGCAGTGGTGAATGTCTGTCTGTTGAAGAACAACATGATAGTTATAAGCGATAGGACTCTGCAAAGAGTTTGCTTCTTTTTCTTCCATCTAAAGAGGCTCCAGCAAGGTATAGCTGTCTTACAAGATACTTGTAATGAAGTTCTAGAAAACTATCCTTTGACTTGAAAATAATGTAGCAGTTGGATACGTAATTCAGTATAAATTTAGTCAGCTTGCTAATAGAAATAATTCTGATGTTCCTGAATATATAAATAAGGGAAAATTAGATTATTTTAATTTATTCTGTATGTCTAATTTATTTCCTGTAGAAATAGTGTAAGCAGATCAATATTTTTGAGTACAAACTACAATGATACATTAAAAAAGGCAGAGGAACCTTAAAAATATAACTAATGATTGAAATGCTGTGGTATGCTGGTATGACACTATCAGCATTCAAGACTGGCAATTTCTGCAGAGGCAAAAGGAGAGAGAGTAAGGTCAGAACAAGGATGGATGTGCTGGAACTTTGTTTGTGCCGGTACTTCTAAGAGTTCAAACAAAGCTTCTGCTATCAGTTTGGCCACGGGCTGTAACATTTAAAACACAAAGAAGTTTTATAATATGAATAACATGAAATTATTTCACCTAGAAACTATACTGGAAATAAAGAATAATACAGCTTTGGATTTCAGACTTTACTGCATAGTGACAATGGGTTTTCTTCATAGATGATGACTTCCTCTGTCAGGTGGAATTCTTCAGGGTTTACTGAAATATTTATTGAAACATCTGCTGCTGCTGGTCTCTTCTCCTGAGCTATGTCCGGTATCTCCAAAACCTAAACTTAAGAAGTTTGAAAGGTTGTGCAATTTGGGATTATAAGGCAGTATCAAATTGCAGACCACTGAGTGCAGTCCATAAACTGAGGGGAAAAAAAAGAATTAGAGATACTGAAATGAAAATGAAATGCTTGTAACAGTCTAAGGAGAGATAGATTAGATTCTCCTAAATATTTTGGATTTTTGAAATGCTCAATTCTATAATGAGTAAACATTAGCAATTTTGCAGTGAATATGCCTTAAACATTTTCTGCAATAGAAAGTAAACCATCCTACATTTTTTGGTCAAAGCAATACTGACATTGTAGGATCATATTGCCCTCATTTGCCTAAGTTTAACGTATATCTTAAGGAAATTAACTAATTCAGGAAACCAACCATATCCTATAATTTAATGAAAACTGAATATTACGTCAAGACAAAAGCAGTCACACAGTACAAAGCATTTTGTTAAAACAATGCAAACTTTTCTTACTGTATCCTATAATTATCCAGTCACACAAACAAGCAAAGGAGAACATTGTAAGCAAAGTATACTTGAAGTTAATATTCATTATGAAGCAGTGATAGTTTTCATTTCATCAGCAAGGTGGCATGGTAATGAGACACCCACATACATACATCCTGCTTACAACACCTTTTTTTTTTTTTTAACCTCAAAACTCTTCCTCAGAGAACCATTTATTTTCTACGTCAAATTCAATAAACTCATTTATATAACCAGTATTCTTAAAAAAAAAAAAATAATTGTAGCCAGCTTGCAGTATCCAATATAACTGTAAACTAAGAGATTTTTTTCACTAGTAAATTCAACGGCATTAAAGTTGAGGTTGCCTGGCCTATTCATAGAGCCTCCAGCTCTTGTCTTAGAGAAGTATAGGTAACACATAAGGTCTTGTGTAACCCACAAAGATGAATCAGATTTCATAAGGCAGGTAAAATGACATTACATGGCTGTGTTGAGGCAACTGAATATCAGCATCCCAATAGTGCCATAGCTCACAGAAATCTGATGGTCCTCAAAGTGACTTTATGGAAATATTGAACAGCTAGTTTCATCAAAATGTTAAGAGCCCTGAAGTCAGCCAGCAACATTCTTTATCATTTAAAGAGCATATATTTGTCCTAAAAGTGATGGATATGAAAATATCAAATCTAAAGATGTGGTGGAATGTAGTAGAATAAGTAGTTTTGAAAGATTATCATCTCCAAATTATTTATTTTTTTTTATTTTTAACCTGGAGTTTTTCAGATGTTAATGAAAGTTCTACCTTGATTTATTCTTTATAAACATATATAAACCACAGTAAGGCTACCCAGCTGGGCTACCTAGCAGGGATTCATCTATCTTGACATCACAGGACCCACCAGTTGTAATGCCAGTAAGTGGACTGTAAATCCTCAAGTCCCATCAGGCTTTGAACAGAGGTGGGCAAGCACACACACCTGAGTAGAGCAGAATGCAGAAATACTCTGCTTAATGGTATGCGCATATGGTACTAACGCCCTCATTTATTCTGAGCTAATTAGAATGGGGTGAATTAGAATTTATTCTAAGCTAGAATTTATTCTCAGCTAATTAGCTTGGAGTACTGCGTCCAGCTGTGGAGCCCTCAATATCAGAAGGATATAGACCGGTTGGAGCGAGTCCAGAGGAGGCCACAAAGATGATCAGAGGGCTGGAGCACCTCTGCTATGATGAAAGGCTGCAAGAATTGGGCTTGTTCAGCCTGGAGAAGAGGAGGCTCCGAGGAGACCTCATTGCAGCCTTCCAGTATCTGAAGGGGGCCTACAAGGGTACTGGGAGAGGACTTTTTACAAGAGCCTGTAGTGATAGGACAATGGGTAACGGGTACAAATTGAAAACAGGGAGGTTTAGATTAGATATCAGGAAGAAATTCTTCCCGGAGAGGGTGGTGAGGCACTGGAACAGGTTGCCCAGAGAAGCTGTGGATGCCCCATCCCTGGAAGTGTTCAAGGCCAGGCTGGATGTGGCTTTGAGCAACCTGGTCTAGTGGAAGGGGTTGGAACTAGATGATCTTTAAGGTCCCTTCCAACCCTAACCATTCTATGATTCTATGATTCTGTGACTCCTAATGTAATCTGGGATCCTGCAGGACAATGACTCTGTGTTCCTGCACATAATCAGGGTCGCTAAATGACAGGTAAAGCAACTCAACAGATTACAGGTCTGGGTCTAAAGATGCAGTCAAAATTTGGTGGTGACAAATCTATGTGGGGACCCCCCACCCGCCCCCAAATTCCTGTCATATTAGGGGGCTTTTGTTTCATTGTTAATAACATAGAAATGTCTGCATAGCTCCTCCTCTTAGGAAGAGAAGGTATATTCCTAAACCATTGAACTTGAGAGAATGGCTTGACCGTAAATTGAAACATAAAGCAAAAGCATTACATAAAAAAACACAGAACTCATCACACCTACCTTACACAGGCCTGTGAATGCTAGCTGTGTACATTTTAACTATTCTGGCTTAGCTTTTGTGCTATTACCTCATTTAAGACTGTACAAGCATTAACCAGCTGCCTTTTGTTCCTCATTGCCCTGTCTGCCGGTCAGTTCATGGTGAAACTACTTTCAAAGAAGGTAGGTTCATCAAGAATGTTTTCAGTAGTATGAAATCTGAAGAATGGTGCACAGCACGATGCCCTGAAGCCCACATGTTTGAATTTCCTGGTACAATGCTTTCTGGTGCCTGTGTTCTCTAGTGGGATGACGAGCATACTCACCCCTAACAAGCAGCTCCGTCTCATCCGACACGGTGTCCGCTGCGGTCTGAACCCTGCAGCCATATCTCCCGGCGTGCATCAGGAGGATGTTCCTGATCATTAAATCCGCAGAGGATGCTTGCTGAAACAGGGATGAAGTGCCAGTGTAAAATCGAGTAAATCTCTGTTCAAGGCAGTGCACGAGGGTATTTTGCACAGTGTGAGAAACTCATGATTGCAGTTTTCATTTTACAATATTTATATGCCCTAATACCCACTTTTGAGGATTATCAGAACACTACACTTATACAATTATTAATAGGGATTAAAGAAGAGGATTTCAGGTTTTTAATAACTTTGACTTTGCTTAAAGCACACTGTGCATATTTGCATACTCAAAGAAAATAACTCCAAATGAGCACAAAGAAATTCATTAAGGAGATGAAGAGGAATATTTTGGATGCTATCCTTAAGCATCCAAATAAGGGGTCTTTCTTCCATTTACCCTTCCTCTTCCCTACAATGCAGTGATATGCAGAATATGCTTTGTTATCTAATAACATCTTATAATAATATTTATTTATCTTAGTAATATATAGTGAATACATATTTTATGTATATACTAATACATATAAAATAGGCAAAATATACAATGTATAATACATTTTATACAATAATACAATATGCAGTATAACATATTGCATACCTCTTAAATTATGTTTAAGGTATATTGTATTTTGTATTTTATATATTAAGAATTGATTAACATATATTATACCATAAAATTGTATTATATAATATAAATTACTGTGTATTCTATACATGTGTTTATATGCAACTCCTCTGTGTTTCCCTTTATGAAACTTTTATTGAGTATAGGCATTTCCCTTCTCATATTTTATTTACTTTGTTAACCAAGCAAAGACTGACAATCTTTCCTTGACTGGCATGTTCTCTGTGTCATAATATTCCTGTGCAGTGGTTCTAATTAGAGTAATTTTGATCCCGAATGAGTAGAATTGTACCCTGCATTCAATATAAAATCTTATTCAGGGTACACTTATTGACACTTCTCTAGTTGTACTGCAAATATGTGACTGACTTCACCTAGATTTGTATATGCCTGTTTTTTGGCATATACTTATTCTGTGCTCAGGTAGTTTCACCCGATCTTTATCGTTCTCAATCATTTGCAAGTTATGAGCTCTCACTTTATAACCATTCGTCCATATGTGCATGACCTTGTGCTTTGAAGGATTACATTTCTTGTCTGTTCCCATGTGTTACTTTCATAATCTGCTGTATTGGTAATATGTCCAATTTTATACCATACAATTATAATTTGCATACTTTTTTGTCTTATGCCAAGGTCATTAAAGGCAAGATGAAATAAGATTGGTTCCAAGATCCCGTCGCCTATAATTTATTTTTTTCATTCTAGGCAGAAGGATTCCTTTTCAAGACATCTTGGCATATGATCTTCAACCAATCTTCTCTTCATTTACAGTTTTGGAACTGAACTTGTCATAATATTCCATGTAGCACCAAGTCAAAATCTTTATCAAAGCATATTCACATGCCGACAAGGAAAAGAGAGGTGGGACATCAAGGTTGCCATTGAGACTAAAGCGAATGTGGGCATGACCTATAGCTTAATAACCCTGTAGATCTAAGAGTGTAAATACAATGGCAGGGTTTGACCTTCTGAAGTGGCCTCGTTAATGATGTTTCTGGAGGGAAGATACGCAGACCAGTCAGGCCATAATGTAATTCCTATATTCTTGCTCTGGCATATCAGAAATCACAGCAGTGGAAAAGAATATCTCAGTACTCTGCAGGTCTAAATGCAGCAGAAGAGCACACAGTCCTACCAGGAGTCAGCTTCATGATACAATTTTTTAAGTTGTCTAGCACAGCAGCATTTACCAGCCATTGAAACATGGGTTGCTCAAGATGATTAGTGATTCTGGTACAAAGCCTTAGCTATTAGAAGGATAAGACCAGAATCAGTCCACATTTGTCCTCTCTTGAGGGTAATTTACATTTAACATTTGTTTTGTTGTTAAGTGGGAGGAAAAGCATAATGGATAGCAACTGTCTGATTTCATCGCTCAGGAGCTGTTAAAAATCTTGGCTGTCACTCTAAATTCCAGGGGGTTCATGACTGTGTGAATCCTAATATTCTTATGAGTAAAAATGTATGCATTTCATCTGCACACCTGTGTAACTGGGCAGCCAAACAGCAATTGAAAGAATCGTTGTTATAAGTGGAGAGCAGTGCAGTACAACAGATCCCCATGAAAGACTTAAATTTATTACAGCATAACAGGATGTGCAGCCAGCACCGCTTAGGATGTGAGTGTGGAAAGAAATTAAACTCCCTGTGTTTAATACTGATGGATATACGCTGAGAAATTAGGTTCTTGATCACGGGAAATAATGAAACATTTTAGCTTCCATTTAGATAAATAGAAGCTATGTTTGACAAGGATCTCTAAAAACTACCATATTACTTGTTGTTCAGTGTATCTATAAAATGTTCTTTATGAATTTTACAGAGTCTTCCAAGTCTTGGAAGACACATTTTTTTGTTTATCCTGTAATGGGAAGAGTAAGGCCACAATAGGTCCTGCACCACGTCATTGCAGCTGCTGCTTAAATTTGAGCAGTTGCAACCCAGTTTAAAAAAACTGCCAGCATGAATGCAGCAGAGACTCCATTAAGAAAAGTATCTAAAGCAAGAAATTTTGTCTTCTACTTTTAGTCTTTTACTGGAAAAAGACATAATGCTTCAGCAAAAGCAGAGACATACCCTCCCCTCTGGGGAAGACAAAAATTGTGTGACATGAATAGAAACAGTGTAGAAAAATCTCAGTTCTGGACTAATATGCGTTAGAAGAGCCTGGTATATCAGCAACCACGTGGTCCCAATATTATTCAAAGCTGAATTTAGTGGTGTTTAAATTTCTTTGTCTACATCTAAATTGTGAATTTATTAAGTGCACATTTTTAAAAGCTGCTGGCATTTCCACTGATTTTATGATCTTCTGTGACAGGGCATTTTTTGTAACCACTGCAGTATTTCAAAACAGCATTTTAATAGAAAAACCTATATTCCTTGGTATTCTGAATATCATATATTACCCATTTAGTCAAGTATCACAAATATTTATATTTCTTCAGTATAAACTTCCATTGTTTGAAGCGTATCTTGTACTTTACCAAAGCTAAGGCTTAAAAATCCAATCCAGTCAAATCAAAAGAGAACAGAACAGATATAGGTTTAACAATTATCTTCTAATGATCTTGAGGAAAGGTACATGTAACGAACGTTTGAGACCAGCATAAGCTAAGGACCTACTGTAACACTGAACACACTCCTGAACTTCATTAAGAAGTGAATAAATAATAATACAGATATCACTGCTATCTGTCATGACTAACGATTCTCTCTAGGACAATGAATTATTGTATAATTCATGTTATGCTGAAGAGTATCCCATTCATCAGGTTCTGGGCTCCAGTGCTCAGTGCTATGTCAATGTATTGTTCTCTTCTCCAGCATGGTATATTATCCGAGGTCATATTGTGTATGCAATAAATCTAATTAACTTTTCTTGTAAGGTATTGCCTGAAGTAATTTTTCACATGAATTGGTGCCACCTATACATAGCTTTTGCTTTTGATGTGGAGATACTTTCCCAAACTCAAAAGACTTCCATTGCCCTCATGTTGGTGATTTGCAGTGGAAAAAAAGAAAAAAAAAAAAAGCCAATTTGCAGGGAACTTAATTTTAGCGAATTAATACTCTTCAGCCATCCCACATTCTCAGGCAGTGGAAGTTGCATGTGGATTTTTTCCTTTAAATTTCAAAAAACCTATAAGGTTGCGAGCTGCTTTGCAGTAAAGGAACTTTTACATATGGTCTATCAAGTGAAGAGCATTGCACTTATTCTTCCTGTGAGAGCAAGTTCATCATCTTCAGCCTGTTGTTAGATAACCTCCCTGTTAATCTGTCTATTCATTTCCCGAGTTTTTACTTCTAAACCAAGAGGTCCATTTAGTATCCAAGCTCTCCTGTTGAAGGCTTTGCACAAGAACAATATATAATCTGCCTGCCTTTGAAATGGAACTCACAGTTGCACTGTGGAGCCCTTTCTTAGCATCCGTTATGTTCACTGTTTACTTCCCCCTACCTATTTAATGGAAGAATTAGACATTGGTTTGGTTATTGCACAATTTATCACTTATGTTCAAACTACAGAGACATATTTAGAAAACACATTTTAGGCTTAGGAACCTTAAATCATTCTCTTATTATATCAATCCTAGCTTTCACTTAATTGGCTTCTAATGCCATTTTCCACATTGGTCATGACACTTCCCCTCCACACTCCAACTGCAGTTCTATGAACGTAGCTCTGCTTTGCCTTAGAAAAAGGGACAAAAAGGCAAGGAAGTTCAAAATGACGGGTAGTCAATAGAAATGATGTGGCGACTCGCAGCTCTCAGCTTCTGCACTGCGAAGGCCTGGGGTCTATAAAGGCTGCCTATTACTTGTATTGAGGATTTGGGTTGGGAATTCAATCTGGACAACATGCAGTGAAAATTGTCTCTCTGTTTGGGAAGAATATGTCTAAAAAAGGCAGTGAGGCTATTATAACTGATCATGATTCAAGAGAAGCTTAAATCAATGGGAAAAAGGAGTGGGCAAACACTGACTGCAATTGAAGGAAAACTTTTATGATGAAAGCCAAAGGGGTGTTTGAGCCATTTCTTTGCTATGACTACAGGGGTTTACCAAGGCTTGCTGGCTGTCAGCTAAATCTCTTGACAGCGAGATGTGAAAATGCTTTCCTACAAAGTGGTTTCTATACAGAAGAGAATGCCTGGGCGGTACAAAAAATTGAAAAGTACCTAAACATTTTGTAGGGTCATAGTCTGTATAAACTAAGACCAGCAAAACAGTGGTCTGTAGTTAAAACAGATTGATATTTGATTGTAAACAAAAATTACCTGAGTTGTTAATGTTATCTTGTTCAGCTTAAATGATTATTTAAAGTATATGGGTGTTTTTACAGATAACACACAAGTTAAGTGAATTCCTGACTCATGCACTATTTTTTTTAATGAAATAGCCTT